CGCTTCCCGCCGCTGAAGCAAGCGCCGCCATCTTGCCTAAGGGCAGAAAAACGGGGGGGGCCGCGTCGGGAGAGCCCTTCGCGCGCCGTGCTCCCTGGCGGTACGGCGCCCGCACTGAAGATGGCCGCTCCGACCTCGGAAGTGACATCGCGGCGCGAAAGGCGGGAAGGGAGGGAAGGAGGGGGCGATGGCCGCGGGGCGGTGCCGGCCCCGCGGGGGATGAGGTGGCGGCGGGGGAGACGCCGCGCTGACGGAAACCTGACTGACAGCTTCAGCCGGGGTGAGGGTTTTGGGATGCCTATAGGACAAGCAAACCAGCAGTGACGTAACTTCATGCTCTGAGCGCCAGCGCTGGCCAGCTCCTTCCTTAGTTTGCTTAAAACTCTGGTTTCAGTAAACCTGGCAAATGCACCTTGCGTTCGGCGAGGAAAGTCTGCTTAACAGTGCAATATAAAAACTAGTACAGGATGGTAACATTTTCCTTATCATACAGAGAGGTGAAAGCTGTGTTCTGCATAGAAACTTAAAGTATTAGAATAAGTGAACGTTCATGTTTCTAACCAAAGTAGTAACGCTCTGTAACTAGAAAAACAGCAGTTAAAATTGTGATCATACGAAAGCAGCAGAACATCAGAGGTGCTCACAAGGCAAAGTTCACGGAGCTGTTTAATTTCCAGCACAGAGTGTTTATACTACGAAGTGCAAGCCCCCATTGCGCTCCTCACACAGAACAGATGAGCGCGCTGAGGCGGAGCGCGGTGCCAGGCTTTGAGATTTTTCTGTCAGAAAAGCTTCGAGTGCTGCTGTATAGCTGAATTTAGGCAGTTAATTTGTCACACCTGGGCATGCTCCAAATGAGGGAAGAGAATATGCTGTTTATTGGAATGCCAGCACACAGATGTTTTTACGTGTACGTGAAAGGGATACACAGCATAGGGAAATACCTTCTAGGGGACGGTTAGGCAGCACAGGTCAGCTTCCAAAATCGTATTCCCAGCGTAGTGTCACTGCACTGTTAACACTGTAAGCAGCTGAAGGGATTGACTATGCATACTGCGGAAAAAACAAGGGAACAAGGACCTCTCAAGGATTCCAGAATTACCATAACAGAGCGCATCTTCAGTTATTTCTAGCAAGATAGTTGGCATAATATTCATATTTATGTACAATTAAAAGTCCATCACACCTCTACTTGTGTGACAAAAGGAGATAAAACTGGGCCACAGTATTCTTCCCTTAGCTGAACATTCACATAGCTAACACGCATAGCAAAGTACCTGAAAGCCAAACCAAATGAAGACAGTGACGTGGATACTTTCCATCAATACTTCAAACGAATTACCTTCAACATCCTTGACACTGAACAACTTGCACTCCTTAATTCACAGACTGCACCACAGGCACTTCAATCTGAAGCAGGACACAGCTTCAAGATCCTGTATTTGGACTTCCGAAGACCAGCGCTAGGATGGCTGCCCGTTGAATGCCGAGCCACAGCGAGAGTGGTAAAATTCAGCAGCAGCAGGACAGAGATTGTTAGATGTATGGGGGAAAAACTTTGTGCTGGCAAGTCCCATTAATATTTCTATGATACTAAGTGATTTAGAGAATGATAGAATTCTGTATTCAAAAACTGTTAAATACAGAGATCAAAGTACCGAGCTCATGCATTAACTTATATATGATGAACCAGAAGCAGCAGTGATGACAGCTCATAAAAAAATTGGCAAGCATAAGATGGAATGACTTCTACAAAAAGGTGTTGAAAAAGTAGGATGTTAAATGAAGATATAGGATTACCTACAATAAAATTGATCACCATCTTGAGAACACTGCTGAAGGCTAAATTCCAACCAATGTCAGCTGGCTCTTGAGACCAGCTTCCAGCCAGATGGCAGGGCACCACACGGTGGGGTACAGCACCACTGCGGAATTAGTGGAAGAACAAACCCCAAGGTAGGACTGAATAACAATGCTGACTGACAGAGATGCTGTGGAGGGACAAAAAATGCCAGTGACAGAAGTAAAGTTTGAGTCAGCTGGAACTAATTTTCTCAAATTCCCTCTCAGTATGTATCACCTAAATATTACATTTTAGCTAAAAGTAGAATTTATCACTTGTTGGTACATGGTATTTATCTCGATTGGTCAAATACATTACTCTATTTATAAGAAAGGGCTGATGGACTTGCATGAGTTTTCAATTAATTTTATTGAGTAGCCAAATCTGATAAATTAGCACAGATAAAATAAGCATTTGCATGTGTTACAAATGACTTTTTACAGGAATAAAACAGTGAAAATTACAAACTGTAAAAAGGAGGACAAGTAAATCCTGTCTCAAATTCAGAAGGGGGAAGATTTATAACTTCATACTAAAGATCAAATGTTTGAGTTCAGAAAACAAAGATTTAATATTACAATATTATACACTACTTTACAAAATTAAATTTACTATATAAGGATTACATCCATAATAGTAAACAGAACCTTAAAATCACATTTAATGGTCCCTTATTTAACAGCCATTCTGCATCTTTGATTAAATTCTGTTAAGAAACTATTTCTAAATAAAAGTGAATCATTCTAGTTATTGCAGCACAGTCTATGTGGACTTAGACTCAAATATATTAAATTAAAAACAATAATGAAAGCAAAGTAAAATGGATGGTAACAATGTTGGCTGAACACTAATGTGTCAAATACAGAAATAGTTTAAAAAAAAAAAGTCTTCAACTAGAAAAATAGAGTACATTTGCAGTGGTAGAGTTGTCGTGCTGGGATCTAAGTACCAGAGCCACTCTTGCCTATTTTTTGCAGTTCATCTTCAGCGTCCTCACTTTTCAGTTGTAGGTAAAAATGACACATCATAGGTAGTTTGTGTGTTCATCTGTCCTGTATTGCCCTTACAGCAATACAAGGTGAACCAGCAGGCTTTTCCCACTGCGAGGGAATAAACTAACGAAGTTCAATACAGAATTTCTTCCAAAGTGAAGAGAACTCCAAGAGGGTTCATCTGATTCTTGTTTATAATATTTTGCTCTGTAAAACTTAGGGACTCCAATTCAAAGTTGTTAATTGCCACAAAGACTGACATCTTTAGCCATTAGTCTGGTGTACATAAAGCAATGAAGCCATCTCCAACATTTATGTTTTTAAAAAAAATAAGGGATATAGTAGCAAAATACAGTCATAGTAAGAAACAGACTTTGGGTGGGCTGTTAGATGCAAGGATGATTTTCAACATCTGAGTGATAATATATCCAAAACACAAGTTTTAAGTCATAACCTATGCAAGTGCATAGCTTCCATTTATGATTTAAATGAAGAGACCCCTTTCCCCTGGATGAAAATCAGACTGTCAAAACTTAAAAAACCCTCTTCACTATGACTAGAAACTGTGCAATTCTCTGAAAAGCTGTTCAAGTAAATATACTGTTTGCTATGGAGACAGCAGACAGGGAAGCTTAAATTGGTTCTGTAATAGTCTTTTCATGCTATTTTAGACGTTGTTCTGAACTTTAGCTTCTTGTGCTCAAGCAACAAGGACAATTTCCCCAAAGAAACTCCTCCCCTGAAGTAAGGCAACTCCTGACAATCACGTGCAGCTACAGCCTGAAATGGTAGCAAATGATTACCCTATGATGTCCTTTGACATTTGTATCACAAAATGTAAGTTATCTAGCCTAATCACAGTACATGTTTGACCACTTATAAGTGTTTCACCTGTTCAAGTTACTTGCCCCAGGAAGTAGGTTTTGCAAGACCTTTACGTTTACCACTATTAAACAAAAAAGCAAACCAAGATTTTTCCGTATGAAACACTTCCACAGGCATAGGGATACAGTAACTTAAATAATCTTTACCTTGGTAGCTATCAATGATAGCTTAATCTCCAAAACAGAACAATTATCAATACACCTTTATAATATGATTTAAATATTTTTGTATATAAATTTTCACTTCAAGTCCAATGTCAACTTCCATCTGTAGCTCTGGCAGGGATCTGAGAGTATTTATGGTGTATTTAAAGCTTTTATTTGGTGCACACTGGCTTTGGACCTAGGCTCATTACACAGCTGCAGTAAAAAAAAATTTTTGAAAGCTTCAAGCGTGTCTCAAACCATAAACAAATCTTCAAACACGATATAATATTTTTGTCTTTGGAAAAATAATTTCTTTTCCAATTTTAATGTCAGAATATTCAATGTTGTCTCCAAACATAAGGTTTGAAGTGCCGTCATACAAACTCGCTTCAGAAAAACACTAGATTTTAGGGGCCTAACATTCAGTTAATGTAAACAAGAGCCAAAAGCCTACTAAACGTAAACGAAAAAATCTGAGATAACCTTCCTTGCCCTTCCCCTCCCTACACCATTCACAAACTGAAATTAAAACTATTTATTTTACTGAAGAAAAACAAAGCTTGCCATATACCTAAGTCTACTTTTGCCGCTGACTCAGCCACTGACTTTTTAAAATGGGTCTCATATAGGGCCCGCTCCTCCCACTCTATTTTTTAATTAGAATACTGACTTATTAAAAGCTTTAACAAATTCAGCCATCTTGTCCAGGTTAAGCTTACCTTTAGTCCTATTAGCCATAATCCAATCCAAGCACTGGATTCTACGCTTCATAAAGTATTTGTTCGTTTCACAATGAACAGTTGTTCATTGCTACTTTAAGCATTAAGTTGAACATTGAGATGTTCTGTCTGTAATCACTGGGTGCACTTAGAAAGAATTTCCCTGCAAATCATGATCAGTGTTGTGAGGTTTTATATCTAGCAGCAAAAAAAAAAAAAGCAAAGTTACAGAAATATACATTTTGAACAACAAAGAACTCTTTATTTTACAAAATGTATTTCGCCTTTTCAGTATTGCCTTTGTAAATGTACTTCATGCTGCAACTACTTACAGTAAAAACATGATTTGCAGCAAATTAAAGGTGCTCAACCAGTTCCAATAGTTTGATTTTTTTAAGGTACAATATTATGTAGTTGCACATTTGATTCTCAGATGTGGTCCTTTATTTGCTTTAGTTTGTTGAAATCACAGTGAGAACTTCTCATCAACTGCCTCAGGCCACAGATTTAATGAAGATATTACAAGCACAACTGTTCTTTACTGCAAAATCTTTCCTCAAAAGAAGTGAGCCAAAGGCTAGTGTTTCATTTATTCACTTGCTGCTGTATATGAAGGAGGAATTCATAGTAAGATAAGGCTGATTCTGTTCTGTCTTCAATCATATTTTGCAGAAAACTTGATTTCAATGGACTGTCGTCCCTTAAAAATGAAAATATAAGTGTTTGAGTGAAATAAATATTTGCCAAGATCTACAGTGCAATGCATTAATAAAGTTACAGGTCAAGTGGCAAGATATTTCAAGAGCTTAAGGACATATGAAAAGAGGATCTCAAATAGCCCTTGTGATTAATCCCAACAAATGCACTTATCAGCATTTACTTCATTTATCTGCCATTAACTAAAGATTGTTCTGTGACATTTAGTCTTTTTTAGTCTGTGGAAATTCTAATCGGAGACAACTCGTAACAAGTCATATCTGTTGTCAAATCTGTTATGCACAGCATTCACCATTGTTAAAACTTCCATTAAGAAAGTTCAGTGTATGATATCCAAATATGTATTGTTAAGAGGTCCCTAAAGAAGCACAAAGACTGTTAAAAACCACTTACTTTATTATATATAGTATAGGAAAGAAAGGTCTCTGTTCTCTCAGCCAAGAAATGAAAGCTATTGTTCTGATGGATTCTGCAGTTTCAAGTTCTGGGAGATGTGTCTAAGAGGCAAAGGGTATCATAAATACATGCATGATATTTTTCAGAAAAAAACCAGTAAAAGGAACACTTAAAATAGCCCAACTCTATCCTAATCAGGTATAAAGGAAACCCAGACAGATAGTTTTGTGATGTATAGTTTTAGACTAGCCTCCTTTGAAAGGGCTTGAAACAGTCAAATGCACTAAACTGGTAAAAGCAATTGGCTATCAGAACAGTGATGACTGAGCTGTGATCGATACCTGTTTCACTGCAGAAACCGAAGGATTTCCCACTAACCCACTGTCCTTACTATTCCCAGGTATTCTCAGTCTGCTCCCACAGTTCTGAGAAACTTAACCATTGCCAGCCTCTTCTTACTGTGCTTCTGTGCTTTCATGGGAAAATCTATAAAGTTTTAGTCTGGAGAAACTCCAAGAGAGGCAATAGAAATTTTTTCTTTCCCTGAATCTGGATTTATAGTTATTATTAACTAAAGGGCTAATATTTGACTAGCGGTATTTTAGTTCTCGTGAAAATAATGTTCTGGCGGCATTGTACACCTGGTGTACAGCAAAGCAAGCACGTACCATGTTCTGCGGTATTGAGCCATAATTTGGAACTCCAAGGACTTGGCTGATAAAGCTCTGCCCGCAGTTCTTCCCAATCCACAGAAACATTACCTGAAAGATACCCAGCAATAACAACATTAATCCAATGCAAAACCACACCTCAGGAGTCTCCTACACATTTTGAGTTCTCAGAAAGAACGCATCAAGTAAATTTGGATACTTTTTAAAATCACCACCACCACGCAACTTACAGAGCCAGCATCCATAAGGTAAGCACCATCCCTACTCAACTTCTCCACTGACAGCTGGAGAATGGGTGGCTGAGGTATAGTTCTATCATTTATGTTAAGAGCTCCCTAATGGAAAAAGCAAAAAGAAAAACAGCAGTTCACATCTTGATGCATTGAAACAGGCAGAAGAACAGAAGATTAAATAAGAATAGGATGTATTACACTGAATACTGAAGGTGGACCCTTTTCCTCAGTTTAGTTCAAGTCATACTTCAAGTGCATAATTTACTAATAAATCTCTTAATGTTTTATTTAGAGAGAGCGTATTTCATCAACTTAATCTTAGTTAATTAGTTCTAGAACTGGAATATCAGATTTCTTATGTACAAAAGATGTGATTTCTAAAATTAGTTAGGCTCTCACATAAACATTCTCTCACTGTTCACAGAACTACTTTGACATTTTAAAATAAAGGAAGCTACAGAGGGACAAAAAGTTAAAACATACGTTACACTGTCTTTATGTACATGTGATTTATAGCGCAAGATAATGACACAAGGCAAAAAGTGAAAAAAGTTAGAAAAAACCTTCCCCATGCATCCATAGCCAGAGCACAGCTTCTCTTCAGAATTCATCAGTCCAATCCCAAATAACAAACGCATAAATGCAACAAATGGGGAAATATGAAACAGTCATTTTTAGCTATGCAGCTTTAATGTGGAAAACTTGCGAGATTTTTAACACAAATTTATTTTCACAGCACACAAATCTTTGGGACCAGACAAACAGACCATGTAGCAATGCAAATACTCACCTCATCTGTGAGATTATCAACTCTGTACAGACTGGGATGTGTCATAAGCATGAGGTAAACAAGGGGCTGATTTTTCACTTGACACATGGTAAAAATGCGTTCATCTAAATGTGCGTTCGTCCCAGTTTGAAATGCTTTCTGCAAACAATCAGGCATTTAATTTGACCGTGAAAGCAAAGTGAGATAAGCTGAATTTAGCACACCATCTCTTGTTTATTTCTAACTTACTTAAAAGCCTTAGAGTTGAGCCATAAGTATTTTCTCAAAATATGGTACTTTACCCCTGCTATTTTACTTCTCCATAGTTCTCTTCAGTGTTTCACATACAAATCATACAATTCTCCTTATTCCCATTTCTGGGTTCTAGAACTTACCGTGACCTTGCACCATCAATCCTTTCCAGTGAGCACTACAGCTGAGATGAAAGCATCTTGAAATATATCTCTTCTAACATACACCTCAAAAATGCCACTCGATGGAATTTGAAAGAACAAATATTGGAGCTGTTTACAATTGGCTTCAATGTACAGAATCTTAGGTAATTCTGGAATTACAATAAAGACATAGTCCTGGCTTGCTGGGACAAAAATACCCCAGCTATAACTGAAACAAGGGCTCGCTCCTCCCACTTGACTGGGTCAAACAGTTACACAGTCTTCTACATGAAAAAGCTCAAATGTCATTATGAACATGCTGGTAGCAACATGCTGGTTAATTCCTTATCAAGAGGTATGAATCCGAAAATTCTCTCTAGAACAGAAAGGCAGCTTGTCCAACACTTGAAATGACTTCTAGTATAAGCTCAGGGAAATCCAATCAAAAAATACTTACCTTGAGCAAATATTGTGAAATGCTTTAAACCTTTTGCAAGAACAGCCAGCCAACTACCTCTTTGCCAGCCAGCTAGCTCTCTTAATCCACACTGAACTGCTATGTGGATCTACATGTCCAGAAATGCACAAAAATTAGATTCTTGAAAAAACACTCTACCAGTACCCTTCCAGATTCTCTAGACTAGTCAGTGTCTTTAATATTTTCCTATTCCCTTGCTTATACCACTTATACTTTTGTTTTTATACACACTTCTAAACTCCCACTCGTCAACTAGATCATTCTCCTTAGTGATATTCTTTAAACATCTTCTCTATCCCCTGTTGCTCTCCTCTGCAAGCAAGAGCAGAAGGCCTGTCCATTATTACCCTGATACATTTGCTCCATAAAATTCTTCAAATCCCTCTGTTTTTCACAACATAACAGACTCCCAAGATAAAACCACACATTCACCACCTGTGAAATCACCTATTACCTGCCCAGGCCTGAGAAACAATTAAATAGGCTTTGTTCTACATTGACCTTCCTAGTCATCAAATTCTGGGGCGCAGAGAAATGGAATTGTTATCTTGAGAGAACTTTGTGCAAGAAGGACCGTTCTCAAATCCGTAAAATATCTCAGTAGTCTAATGGCAAATTGCAGGAAGACTGATTTTATTAAACGATCTAAATGAAGCAACTTCTCAATTTTGAGTCCTACAAAAATACTGAAAGAGAAGATAGATGCTATTTTGTACATCAAAGAAATGTCCTTTTACTTCAGGTTGACATGCCAAACAGACAATCATCCTCTTGCATGGCTTCCTTTTAACTCTTACCTGTTTTAAGAGTGCCAGTACATAAAGCGGAAAGAGCCGTAGGGAGTAGGGGGCCATGAGACCAGGTTGTTGAATGCTTAGGACTGATGAACGGTAAGCAGATAAAGAATCTATCACTGCATTGACCAAGGCATCCCGAGCATCACTCAAGGTAGCAGAAACTGATCGGTCCACAGCTAAAAAGAGCACAAAGCTCAAATAAGAGGCTTTTCCTCCCTTGGTAGAAATACAGTCACATACGTTAACTTTTCTCATTTTAACATATACTTCCATGCATCTTAATAAGCTTTTACTACACTATAGAAGTCAAGACAAGTGATTCAGAAAAAAAGCCAGGGGCCCACGATGATGCACCAGACTAAGACTAAGTCCAGGTGACTACACACAACTATACTGATACTTTACCTAAGCCAAGCATTAAAAAAAAAGACCTCTTTGGTTTGTAACTTACAAAGCACTCTTAGAAAGAGAGACTCTTTTCTTCTAACGTTACTTCCCAGAGGATTACTGCTCAGAGCTTTAGGGATATCATCCATACGTATCCAGACAAGCTCTTATCATGCTTACCCATATTGGCTAACAGCCCAGTGATGGCTTGTACATCTGCCCCTAGGTAGACATCACTCAGTGTTGTTACAACAGGTAAGCACATAGTGTGGACACGAATTCGTCTTTCACCTGTAAGAAAAGAAAACTGTAGTCTCCAAACACAACTTTGGTTTTATGAAGCAATACAAGAAATGCCACTGTTTACTCAATAGCAAATTAAGATTTAATCTAATTTATCATACAAGTGGTGAATCAGGCCATTTCCAGTAGCATTTAAAAACGGTTAGTTCTCAGTTTCTGGGTTAAGTCTACCTATTTTCAGACCAGAACTAAGTTTCCCAAGAAACTTCTTGGTCTGGAAGAAGCAATAACATCGACAACATGCAGTAACACATCACAGCTGTGAACTTGATATTGGATAAAATAGTTGGTGTAAGTTTCTGCAACTGAATTGCAGCTGATAAACGAACACAAAAAGACGCACCTGAATACTGTACTGTTAATGCAGCTAACGCTACCTGTATATCTTACCTTTGCTGGATGTGTACAGGAGAGCTGACTGAAAAGAAACAACTTGCATATCGGTAAGACTCTCTTCTACTGACATTTGCACAGCATATCCCGCATCGGGATTTACATTGGGTAATGACAACAAGTCTGTAGATCGTACGAAGAAGTTCCCATGGAAAGTATGAATGGAAAGACCTACAAGATAAGCATTGTATTGAATCAATTTTACTTTTATAGTCGTGAAGTACAGACACCATTTACACATCTGCCATCACTGTTAGATGGCTCTGTATCAGAATGTTAAGATCCTTCTCAACGAAATAAAGTATCTTCAGGAAAGGTAAATATCCCAAACAGGCAACTAATCCATAGAATCCACAAAGCCTAGTAGAAAGCAGGAATTCGGAAGTTAAATCAATGCAGAACAGTAGTAAGTCTCTAGACTATAAAAACAGTCCCTTGTTGAAATAGCAGTCCAGCAAAATCTCCAGTTTTAACCATCGTAAAATGGAACTTGGATGCCAGTAAAGATACTGCAAAAATACAGTCTTCAATAAATGGTCCCATTCCTGGTACTGAATTTTACTTTTCTAATCTTTGTCTTTTAACCATTTCAGCTTACATAACAGCCAAAACACCAATCAAAACATTCCCAAATAACAGCAAATGCCCATGTCCCCTCCGCTTCCCCCCCACAAATCCAAAAAACTGTGTTCAAACCTTTGGTGCATCTTATCCTCATGACAGCCTCAAACCCAATCTTTCTAGTTAAATATCGTTTCAGTTCCTTTTGCAATTTCTCCACCTGGACAGGGTTGTGTTTATGATGGTAAGACTGGTAGTAATAGACACTACCTGCAGAATACCTTGATATACAACCTGAAACGAAAACAACATACATTGGCAGAGTGCAGTCAGTTGCTGCTGTGGTCTTTAAACATACTAGTTGAATGCAATATTCCCTTTCATTATTAAACTGTTCACACCTGCAAATAGCTCTGTTACACAGTTGCAGACCTGCATACAGAGACATAGATGTAACACAACTATATGTTCAAGTATGTATGTAGTTTCAGGTGTGAAAGAATTCTCCATTGGCCTGAAATTACAGGTACTTTGTCACTTGAAAGTTTGGTTAAATGGAGAAAAAAATAATTAAAATGCTAATGAAAATGCTAATGAAGCTTACTCTAAAGGTGTTTACACTGATGGTTAAAAGGCATAAAAGAAGGAAAGTATTTCAGCCACTTATACCAGGATCACAAGAATCCTGACTCACTAAGGGAGAATATGAAAACAGCTAGGTTAAATCAGGAAAGACTGAAACATTTCATTCTATTCACTGTCATTGCTCATCAAGGATGAATTTGCATCTTGACACACTAGATTCATTCAAATCAGGTTCATATACTAAATGTTAATGTAGATTCTATGTATTTGCCAAAAGTACAAGAATTACACGCCCCAAAACAGCTTAATATGACTTACCTAGAGAAGCCAAGTCAGAACATTGTCCACTAAGAAGAAATAAATCCACTGCAACCTGTTGCCCTGAGCAGTCCAAGGCTAACTTCTTGTAAAAATCAGTCGATGGTGTCAGATGTATGTCCTGTTAATACAATGGAGTGTTAGAAAATACAAAGGAAATTCAAACAGATTAACACATTTATTGCCTGTTTACAGGGACGCTAATAATTGATTCTCCGTCACTGATTACAGTGATATCTTAATAAAAAAATCAGATCGTTAATCTGTGTTTATAGTGTTTGGGGGGGTTTTTTTGTTCTTTCTACCGCTTTAACAAAGGAAGGTTAGCTCAACAAGAGAACAACAAAACTAACCCAGAACAGGCAATTCCAGAACCACCTACATGTACAGAACGGGGCAGTCAGTTCTCTCAACCTTTTTGCTTTTCTAACCTTTGCGGTTGCTCTTTGGTTTGGCTCTTCTCGTGACTTTAGTGCTCCCATTCCCACAGATGGAAGCTGTGTCTGGAAGACAGAGATTCTACCTCCAGTGGGGGACATCAGTTTAAAGGCAGCCTGTAATGCAGGCCCCAGAGCACTCTGAGTTTCCAGGGACTTGGTAAACATCTGTGGCAAGGTCCTCAGCAGATCTTGAATTAGCTACAATTGAGAAAACAAAAGTATTAAGACTAGGAGTCTTCGGAGTTGTCTTCTTTATAGAGCTGACTGCTGAACATACATAAACATGGATTAACACTTCTAATACTAAGGTAGTAAAGAAAAAGCCCTAGCAAAAGTCAAGTACTGTCTTGTTTCAGCTTGGCAGAAGTTTACAGTCACACAGATAAAAGACCTCTTTTTTCCACCTCAAACTTGGCATTTAAACTGTAGGTGTTAAGAGCATTAAGTAATCCAGAAATTATCAAGCATATCCCAAACTATGTGAACATCACTAGTTACTTAAGGTAGTTCTTACCTCTTTATTTTCATTTAAATTTACTAGTAAGTTTTCTGGCATTGGTATAAATACATCTGGAAGGAAAAAGAAGTACTTAAATTATTTTTTTAAAAACACATCAAGCTTCCCCCAATTGTATTTGCCAACCATTATACCTATTGAAAAAAGAATACAGTATCAGTGTGTAAACTCAGTTTGTAAACCCATTCAAACATAATTATGTGGATTTCTTTTTTTCTCATAAGCATACCTGTGGCTGGAATGCCATGTTAGAGTAGCAATTGACAGGGCTGAAGGATAATCAAGACTATTAAGTAAAAACACATAGCGACGACTTTCTAGTGTTCATTCTGCCCTGCCCTAGAACATACGGCGAAAGGTGACTTGAAACTAAAGGCAGAAGAACAAACAGTAAGCATCAGTCACCACAGAATCTGTAGCAATTTACCAAGCATCAGTATTTGGGATCATAAGAGAAATCTAGGTAATTGTACAAATTAAACTAGAAGTTCGGAAGGCTGTCTTCATGTTTTTAGTCATGAACAGCCACAGCATTGCTCAGACATCAGGGGCTTCATAAACGAACACAGACATATGCTACTTCTAAAGCCATTACGAGAGAGACTAATGATCTGATGTAGAAACTCCCACCAGATATTTTTTAAAAAGGCTGTCAAAACCAGCAGTCATTAGTAGATACTAATCACCAAATTTATTTCTGCGTACCTTCAATATCTGAAACTATAAGCATCTGTGGCTGAGAGAGACCTTCCTGAAGACTGTAGAAATGGATTGTGCTGTCAAATGTTATGAAGCCTATTTTTGTTCTAGTGTTCCCAGGAAGCCTAAAAATGAGACATATGGTATTCAGCAAGATGAAATTTCATTTCTGCAGGCTTTTTTTTTTTTTTTAACCATCCACTGCACCTGTCCAAGGTTGTTACCAAGTAGTTAGCTTAACAGCTACACTGCAACAGCTTGATTAGCTTAACAGCTACACTGCAACAGCTTGATTAGCTTAACAGCTACACTGCAACAGCTTGATTAGCTTAACAGCTACACTGCAACAGCTTGATTAAGTCATTCTGGAGAAAAAAAAATCTGCGTACCTTCAATATCTGAAACTATAAGCATCTGTGGCTGAGAGAGACCTTCCTGAAGACTGTAGAAATGGATTGTGCTGTCAAATGTTATGAAGCCTATTTTTGTTCTAGTGTTCCCAGGAAGCCTAAAAATGAGACATATGGTGTTCAGCAAGATGAAATTTCATTTCTGCAGGCTTTTTTTTTTTTTTTAACCATCCACTGCACCTGTCCAAGGTTGTTACCAAGTAGTTAGCTTAACAGCTACACTGCAACAGCTTTTGATTAGCTACAGCTACACTGCAACAGCTTGATTAAGTCATTCTGGAGAAAAAAAAAACCACCACAAAAAAGGAGTACAGGCACCTAGCAGACGCTCAAGAAATTTTTTAAGATTTAAGAAAGAAATGGAAGATAAGGAAGAAACAAG